AGATCAAGCGGTAGAACTGTCTTCTAGGAGAAGGGAAACTCTGATTACAAACCTCCACTGCCTTGTGGCTATATCCACTAATGGAAAATGCTTCAGGAGTCAACCTCCAGGCAAAATCCAGAGCCGGAGTCCCGGAAGCAGTTAGTGACTGTGTACAACCACGTTCTGGTAACTCCTGCAATGCAGCTGGAACCAGTCGTATCGGCTCTGCCGTTCAATCGGACTATTTCAGCGATGTGGAGAGGGGGAATCTGCTGCTTGGCTAACAGTCTATCCTCCATATTAATCCACCCAGGCCTCGTGCTCTGGAAAGGATACTCCAGCTTTGACCTCTTTCCAGAGCACAATACCATCATCTTTTGAGACTGAAGAATGCCAATGAACAATGAGGAGGAGGAGTAATAATATATGGTGTTTTTATAGTAGCCAGGAGACCACAATGCAATTGCTGAGTAGTAGTTTGGCTGTCAAGGTCAGCCAGCTCAGTTTGGGTCTACAACATCTCACCACAGCCAATTCACCCAAGAGTTACCCTAATATCGAAGAAATAGTGGGAAAGGATAATTAAAGGATGCCAAAGGAGGGACAAAATGTAATGGGAAGGGCAAAAATTAAAGCCATTTTTTTTCCAAAATTATTTTAAGTAATTAAATTGAATGGTTGAATTGTCTCATGACGACTTGGCCATAGAGAGTGGGCTGCGAGTTGTCCCATTCCGGCCATGTACCAGGGAATGCCTGTGTGCTTCCCAAGGTGTACCAAAGAGGGTGAGCTGGCTTTGCACCAGGAAAGAAAGGCAAGCAGCTCTTCCTGCAGTGTCACCCAAGGCCCCTTCCTTTCCCAGAAGCCACCTCACCAACAGGCATCACTAATGGGAAGGTTCAGAGCCAGCAGGAATCCGACAGCCTGCACAGAGCACCACCTTGTCACCCCACCGAAGTGGTACCTATTTATCTACTCCAGGGGTGCTAAATTCAAGCCATGCGGGGCAGATCCAACCCGTAGGGTGCTTAGATCTGGTCTGCGGGGCTGCCCTGGAAACCGTCTCGGCATGTGGCCCTCCTGGGCTCCGTTTTCGTTGCCAGAGAGCTCCAGGAGGTCATCACGGCCAAAAACGGAGCCTGGGAGGGCCGTGTGAGGGCTGCAGGACATCAAGCTGGCTACACCCACCCAGGCCACATCTACTCAACCCCCCCACCCGGAGGTCAAATCCAACCCAGATGCAGCCCTCAATGAAATCAAGTTTGACACCTCTGATCTACTCG